TCCGAACCAACATGCCTCTGAAACCATTGTAAACCGATAACAATGTACAGATAGTATGTTGTGGTTCAACGTATCGTTGGATCATGCTTTTCGGATATCATACAGTTTTGGACGGCGGTGTATTCTCGAATTAAAAGGAGATGTATCGTCACACAGCTATTGTAAATTCTTTAAATAATGGCTTGTGTTTAGTAGAAAGTTATCTTCTATATGTTAGTGAAATGTTTTGAAGTCGCCCGTGTCATTGTAAAGAAAACGACGAATGTTTCTGAAGTCTGCGAAAATCCATAATACCAGCATACAGTATATGTATAGCTATACATATCGTATTTATGCTTTCATTCGGAACCCCGTTGTTCCAGATTGAACATCTACGCGTGCACAAAGGACTTCAGCCCGTACCCAATTAATCAACCTGGAGATCCGTGAAGATCCGGGTTAGCTTCAAGGTCACATGCAACGTAAAACACAACTTTGCAGATTCTGATACCTTTCGGTATGGACTTACCGAAACAAATCATCAAAAGTGCAAATTCAACTTATAAAGTTGAAAAATAACGCGATGAAAAAATCCGCGCGAAATCGGAGTTCAAACGATTCACTAATTTTCCCCCAGCGCGTGGGGGAATTGAAGTGGTTTCAACAGCTGGGCTGCGCTCATAGAACATGCGCAGTGAAATAGGTTCGCGCAGCTTGGAAGCGGGCTGTCCGGTGAATACTCGGTGAAGGCTTTGGTGTGAGCTATTTTTCTAATGTTTTGTTGATATTTCACAGGCGCGAGCTTTTCATATGTTATTACAGTAGATTACCGATTTAACTGTTTATATAATTTCATTTGTCTATTTCACCACACGTTCTTCTTACCGAGTCACTTTCTCAGTTCGATACTTAAAAGCAATATCATTATTTAGCGTTGACAGAATTTCTAACTGTGATATAGATATGTCGTTGTCACAGACAAAACTCAATGTCTGTTTTATTGACGCCTATGTGTCTGCCTGCCTGTCTGCTAATGACAATATTCAATACACAATACAAATTCGATCACTGGCCACATGCAATTTGAACTTAACACCTATCAGGCTATACACCATAAACAAAACGCATTGATTTATGGCCCGAGTTCGGTCTCTGTCACATTATGTAATTACACAGACAGGCAGGTGTGATACTTGTACACATGACATGTTATGATGTCTGTTGATTGCAAAATGTTATACACAAAAAATGAGCATGTATTTACAAAACCCATCATCTCTATATATACACAGACAATGAGCCGTGACGGCATCTGCAAATGAACTAGCCGTTACACTTGAGTGCACACCCACCCGCTCTGACTGGGTTCGGTATCCCGGGTGCTTCGTTTCTTGGGAAGTAAACCCAAGTACAAAATATTGCACTTTTGATTTGCGATTGTACGCTTATAATTTTGTTTATATGCTTTTTCATAACCAGCAATGTATATTATATGTCACGAATAAGTGATAATTCTGTTTTAATTATGTTTGATTTTTTGGTTGCATGTGACCTTTCAGCAACCCATGGTTGTCGTTAGAGGCGACTAACGGGATCGGGTGGTCAGGCTCGCTGACCTTGTTGAATCGTGTCATCGTATCCCAGTTGCGTAGATCGATGCTCATGAGTTTGGTCAATGGATTATCTGGTCCAGACTCGATTATTTACAGACCGCCGCCTTATAGCTGCGGCCTTAAACAACGAACAACCAACAATGTAAACCTGGATTGAACTAGGATCGCAGTCCGGTTGAACGGAGTTACACTTCCGCTGCCTACCCACGCCACGACAGAGAAAACGTAAAAACAGTCTTACATTCTTAATAGATATTAAAGCATGAATACGATATATTCATATGAGCTTTAAGATGAGATAGGTATGAAAGGCGTTATTGAGCAGTATTGAAAACTGTTCCGGCATAAAATGCTATGCTGAATATTGGTAGTGAAATATTGGCATTGTATTAAATCTTTAGATATACATCGTGGATACTACGTGTGTGACTTCCGGTCTGGCAATATTCAGCCACATAATTAAAAGACCAACCGTCGTTAGCCGGACATGTTTTCTGCACAATCAATAACAAACACCTGTTGAAGTACCTCAAGTGTTTATGACTGTAATCCCACAATCAGCCATCCCATGATATTTATTTGCAAAACCCCAGTAATATCGACAGTTCTGAGAAGTAATATCAATCTTGGGTGTTGTAGTCGGGTACCCTACCCGCTCAGCCAGTCGCCAATTTGATGTGACAATATACAAATACATATGTTAACCATACAAATCCCTTCAATGACAAATTGTAATGTAGATTATGCATGTATGACACTTCAATGCAACTAGATGTAAACCGTAAGTAACAGTACCATTTTGTAGTATTTTGTAAATGAAAAGATAAGTCTAAAACGGCCCAGCGAATACATGCAGCTAATGACCTCCTAATTGTATTGTTTATTCATCAACCCATGCTCGTTGTGAGACACGATGAACGGGTCAGAGCACAGGGGATCGAATCATTGTTTGGACAATAATTTTGAAAATAAAATCTAGACTTTTGCAATCGTATATTGTTTTTATATGTTATGAGTAACCTGTAATGAGTGTAGCGGTAGAATTTTCTTAAAAATTCATTTCTTCAAGGATCTCGTTCAAATTTGAAATACACGTTAATAGTAACATATAAAAACAATATACGACTGCAAAAATCTAGATTATTTTTAAAACAATTATTGTCCAAACAGTGATTCGAACCCCTGTGGGTCAGAGTTGCTGACTTGGCTGGAGCATGTCGTCCTTTATGCATATTGTGTAGATCGATGCTCGTGGTGTCATGGATTGCCTGGTCCTGCTGACTCGATTATTTCGAAACCGCATTGACAATGCTGGAATATCGCTTAGAGCAAATACAAACATCACGAATGGGCTGCACACATTGGGCCTTTATGCAACACTGTAAGGGACATTCTCCCGATCTAGACCTTTGGAAACGAGCTAAAAATATCAAAGGTGCGAGAATGAGTACTCGCGAAAAGGCAAGATCGCCAGAATGTCCCCAGTATTCCATATGTAACAAATAACGCACAGGCCTGTCGGTACGGGTAGGACCATGTATTCCCGATAGAACTACCTCTGTTTCATCACTGTGTCCCTGAAGTTTAAGCCCCATACCTCGCTGAGCAAAGTGTATTCCAGAATCACCCCGATCTGGAAAACTGATTTGTCACATAAGTGATCGAAATAATTTTCAAACTCAACAAGACAGTTGGGCAGGTGACCAATGAATGTTGCCTGCCCATCTTTAAAGTTGCCTGCCCGCACTCTGATGATACATTTTCTGAGTTTGGTTTTGACTCATAAATTGCATTAATCATTGTTTCAAATGTGAATTAATTCAGCAAATTCCAAACAACAAGCATGCAATTCAATACGCCCAGCCTGTGACATTTGAAAAGAGCCTGTTAAACTTGCAATTGCCCTTATCGGTTTACATCATCAAAATGATCAACATTTTCTGAAAACTTATGACAGTGAAAGTTTAGAGCGATACCGTTGTCAAATAGATCTTCTGCCAGATTATTCAAACGAAGCTTGCAAAATGGAGGTATAAGACTCTATACCGAGCCAATCGGGTTGTACTATATTTTTAAAGAAGTTGTCATCCATAAAGCTACATTTATATTCACGGGTTTCAACATGAAGTTAGAAACGGATTGCTGTCAGTCCTGAATTGATACGTTGCGATACAATATAACCAGAATCTGAACCTTTTTTCACATTCGGGATGTGAATTTACAATGTCGAATTTTTTTCATATTCAGTTGACGGCAGGGTTTAATTTTGAACTGTTTGACTGGCATTTAGAAGTTGATGAGCAATTTGAACTATTATATTTCATCGATGACAACTTTATTATGCTATGTTGACATACCTGGAATAACTTCGTATTCCGATATTTCAAGCGAGGATGCGATCATTTCAAAAACTCTCTTTGACAACGGTATGAAGACTCTATACCGAAACGTCGCGTAATACTATATTAAAGAAGTTGTCATCTATAAAGTACCTTATATTCATAGGGTTTAATTTGATTCATAATATTCACCAGATTATGCGAATAGTACTATCCGCAGGCGTCAATATTGTCCTCACTCGGATAGTAAGATGCGTTGAGCATGGAACCGAAACGGGCTTCGCCCCTTCGTCATAGGTAGAGATTCCGATTGCATTATTGTCACTTGTTCTTGCTGAACTGTAAAAAATCCTTGGCATGAAGAGATCTATTTGGACACTTCCACAACACAATGTTTAACATGGACCAGGAGGCTGAATCCGCTTGTCTATGGAACTTCAGATTGTGTCAAGAGTTGTCAAAATTGTCTCTGACTCTCTGTGTTCGTCAGTGAGAATGACACATATCCAACAGTTCGGCAGTTATCCACTTGTGTTTACAGTTCGGTAAATCAAATAGTTCAGTAAGAATGAAAAATAGATCCAACAGTTCGGCAGTTATCGACGTGTGTTTATAATTCGGTAAATCAAATAGTTCACCATTCGTATGGTATGGACCAAAGTTTGAGTTATGACGAATCAGAGGTCTCTGAGACAAGCAATTGTCAATATAGAATACGTATATGTCCCACTGTTCGGCACATGACTGTAAAGTGCGGTAATTGAAACAGTTCACTGCCGTTTGCGTAACGTAATAGGCAATCCATGCCGAAAAAGATTAGGTCCCACATTTGTTAAATAACTGATAATTCCGTGAAATTGGCACCATTGATTATCTCGTGTTTCAAACCTTTATTCCAGTAAGATAAATACCCTTGATCCTTTCGTCACCATGTCTTTTGATTTCGATTTGTTTGCAACAGCACTAACGTTGAAAATAGTGAGTAAGTTGGGTTTTACGCAGCTTTTAGCAATATTCCAGCAGTTTCACGGCGGCTGACACCAGAAATGGGCTTATGTGGGGAATTGAACCCGGGTCTGCGGAAACCAAGTCGAGCTAACGTTTTAACCGCTTGGCTACCCCACCGTCCCTGGACATTTTAAGAAACGCTCAGAAGAATTTTGACCTGTTTTGAAATCAATCTAATGAACGAGTCCAATTCTGTAGTAAATAATGGAAATTGTAGATTGACCTGAAAACCAATTTAGTGGTGGCGAACCGGTCTAGTGTACATATCAAAATAGAATGGAGATTTAATACACTAGATAATTAAGAAAGAAACATTTGCCGGTAAACATGTAAAGCCAGTCAAATATGGTATATCTGGGACAAAGTCGTCCCCTTGCTGTAGTGAATACTGAGAAAGTTCATAAACTGTGCGATGTTGATTGGATAGAACAGAATCAAGATGGGAATAGCCGGAGCAATATCACTGTAGTCATGGTGACGGAACCAGTTGTTTAGCAACCAGATCGGTCTGAGTATACAAAGTATGAGAATAAAGAAAAATATCCAAGTCCGACTATGAAATATTCTCAAAGTACGTTGGCAGGTTGTACATTCGTTTTGCCTTTTGGGCAGCGCACCTGAAATAATAAAATGAGGACAGTATTAATTTCAATAATGGCCGTTCATGCGTTTTTGTCTTGTTTTTGTGCAGTGCCTAAATCGTTTCGATTGAGTGACAGTGGGGTCAGCGAGCCTGACCACCCGATCCCGTTAGTCGCCTCTTACGACAAGCATGGGTTGCTGAAGACCAATTCTAACCCGGATGTTCACGGGTTGATACATGTAAAGCCCATTCTAAAGTGAGTCCATCACGGAGGCCGCTGTACGGAGTAACCTTCGCTCTTTGATCGCTTTGAGTGAGTGAGTATAGATTTACGCCATATTCCGGCAACATCATGACGTGATACACTAGAAATGGGCTTCACACACGGTATCCATGTGGGGACTAGAACCCGTGTATTCAGCGTGACGGGCGAGCTCTTCAACCAACTAGGCTACTCCCACTACCCAGATAGCTCTGAACAATTGCATCCCGTGCGTCTATCAACGACTATCAACAGCTAACTGTGTCCCCACTGGCGTATTGCTGGATAAGTGATATAAAGCGTAAACGAAACGAACAGCTTGTCTTTTTACCCGACCACGAAACCACCATTTGCCGCGATAACGGTTGGGGTAAATCTGCGACAGAAATGGGATAAAGTTTGGAAAAGGGTGGGATTAAGTTAGCGTAATAACGCTACTACAGAAGATAACAGAGTATTCACTTACTGTTAAGGAACCGTTTACCTACAAGGCATCATGAAGTATTAATTTAAACCAGAAAGGTAAAATAGTTCTCATCACCCTATCACAAAACACGAGCATAATTGATTCATCTATACCTGCATCTCAGCCAATTATATCGAAAGGTAAAGCGGCACCTAGTTCTGTGCCCATGTCTCCCAAATCAGCAAAGGATAATGAATTGCAATATCAGCTTAGGCTTTAAGATGACATGCCTTGATATATCTTGAAAATGGCACTAAAACCAAACTCCTTCACTACATTTTGCATTAAAGAGGAGGGGATATTTTGGAATTAAGAAAATCTGGATCAGCCCAAAACCGGAGTTCGAATGAAACCTGACTGGACTGTATTCGTCCTCCTTTACTTGTGAAAATATACTGGTCGTAAGAGGCTACCAAGTGGATTGGATGGCTCGGTGAGTTGGTCCACTGCGTGTCACCCGACGATGTCGTTACTCACATTTATCAATCACTTCATTGTCTGGCCCACGCACGGTTATTTACAGGCCAAGGTCATATATCTCGAGGGGCGGTGGGTAGCCTCGTGGTTAAAGCGTTCACTCGTCGCGCCAAGGACCCGGGTTCGATTCCTCACATGGGTACCATTTCTGGTGTCACCCGTCGTGATATTGCTGGAATATTGCTAAAAGCGGCGTAGAACCAAACTCACTCACTCACTCATATAGCTCGAAATCTGCTGGGTGTGGCAAATACAAATTAACTCTGTAAAGGCTTACCGGGAATGTATGGGTCGCTAAATGGGCGTATGATGCCACAGACGAGGATGATAAGTGATGGCGGCACATACACCAGTGCGTTCAGTACCACCAGAGTAGTAGAGTCTTGTCTTCCTGAGAACACCGGCATGTAGATGTGGACGTCGAATGGCAAACTGATGGCGTAACGGGAAACACAGTTAAATCCAACTCCATGGGGGTTCTGTGAAAGCGTTTGGACTCCAACGGCAAAGACAGCCCACGACACAACAGCCAGACAGTTCCAGCTTAAAACGATGCCAGTAACAGTACATTTCTTCACATGACCAGTGGTAATATTATACAACACAATATTTACCACCAAGAAGACAAGAACGGCTATGTCACAATTTACGTAGCATGAACAAATATTGTTACTAGGGATACCAATCTGAGTCAATACCATTGCAGCAACACCAAAGATGAAGGACAGAAGAGAACCGGAAGTCACGGCCATGAGGATATAACTGCAACCGGAAACTAGCTTAGATCGCTGCTGTTCAGCTATATGAAACATAGCTGGAATTAGCAGGAATGATCCGATAAGAAGGTAGTGCGTAAACATAGCAGCATTCACTGTTATTGTGTTGACTTGAATGGGGGTTCTCATCGTTGTCTTCGCTTCATCCCAGTTCTTTTCCGGGGGGAAGACGATGTTCATGGGGAGGAGAATTAGAAACCCTGGAATTTGACCATGTATTTCGATGTTTTCGGTTTTTAAAGTTTAGTTGTTTATTTTCTTGCATCCACGACTTGGTAAAAGCACTCTTCAGTATTGTCCATGAAACGAAAAACTTCGTCTTAGTCCACGAGTTTCTGTCTTTATAAACTGAGACTGGGTCTTCACGGTGATGACACTGTCTTGAGTTGTCAGTTCTCTTTTATTCTGTTTTGAGAATGATGTTATGTCTTACGTCGTCTCTTGACCTCTGATACGTCCACCTTCAAAAGAAAGACTTCATAATATTATGTTGACAGAAACTTTGCAAATGTTATACCACAGGCCAATAATCACATGCACTAAGTTTGTCGTTACACCCTGACCCGTGAACATCCGGGTTAGAATTGATCTTCAGTAACCCATGCTTGTCGTAAGAGGCGACTAACGGGACCGGGTGGCCAGGCTCGCTGACTTGGTTGTCTCATGTTATCGTATTCCAGCTGCGTAGATCGATGCTCATGCTGTCGATCATTGGATTGTCTGGTCCAGACTCGATTACTAGTATTTGGGGCGGTGGCTTAACCTAGTGGTAAAACGTTCGCTCGTCACGCCGAAGACCCGGGTTCGATTCCCCACATGGGTACAATGTGTGACGCCCATTTCTGGTTCCCCCGCCGCAATAGTGCTGTAATATTGCTGAAAGCGGCGTAAAACTATACTCACTCATCTCAATCGATTATTTACAGACCGCCGCCATTTAGATGGAATATTGCTGAGTGCGGCGGAAAACTAAACTCACTCACCCGTCTCACGCCATACTATGTCAACAGTCAGCAATGTAAAGGCAGCTTCGTAAGTAATCGAGTGTGGAATACCCAATGGTGAGCATCGTCATCGATCTACGTAGTTGTGCATCGTCATCGATCGACCAAGTCAGTGAGTCTGATGACCGTTAGTGGCCTCTAGAGAAAAGCATGGATTGCCGTAGCCTAATTCTAAACGGGTCGTTATTAGGACTGCATTTCTTTTATAGCATGTCAACGCATTCGCTCACTAAACGTACCGCACAAAGGTACATTATAATCATGATTTCGTTTACTTTTCCCGGGTTTGAATTGGTCTTCAGCAACCCATGTGACGTACGAGGAGACTAACAGGATCGGGTGGTCAGGCTCGCTGACTTGGTCATCGTATCCCAATTACGTAGATTGATGCTCATGCTGATCTCTGGATTGTCAGGTGGAGACTCGATTATTTACAGACGCCGCCATATAGCTGGAATAGCGCTGAGTGTGGTGTAAAACTAAACTCAATCACTCACATCCCTTGTGTACATTCTGCCCATTAAAACCACGAAAGGGAATCATTTAAAGTACAAGAAGGTAGGCCACATCCGTTGGCACTTTCATTCATCACTTTTGTTTTGGACTCAAGTTCTCAGTTAATGGTTTGTCATCTGTTCCAACAGACATAGCTGACCTGATTATTTTACCGGCATGGGCTCTTGGACCCAAATGTACTGTAAGTATAGTTCTCATGAAGAACACAACGGATTATATGACACATGCCTAACTGCAGAAGATTAAAATATCCATGAAGGTTAAAATTGGTCTTCAACCACAGAATTTTGGTGATCAGGCTGACTTGGTTGATGCATGTCATCATATGCGATTTATGATGTTAAGCACTGAATTGTTTAGTCCAGACTTGATTATGCAGATGCTGCTGTCATGTAACAAACACAATGTTTTACTTGTTCAAAATCTTCCATGTATTATGTGAACAATAGCTCAAATCTAGCTTTGGCTGCTAAACGTGATCGTGGTGTAGTATAAATACGAGTGAATCAAAAGTGGTGTGTTAATTTTCGACGCCTTCGGAGTAGTAGTTATAAACAATCTTAGAAGTACAAATTACTCCTACGTGTAGAGAATACAGTGGAGTTGGGAATCGGAAATCCATTATCGATTATTATCGGAGGACTTGTGGTGAACGATTATCGTTTATAGTCGAAATATATACATTTTTAATGCAATCACCAATTTTAAGGGTTTCCCCCAGGTTTTGTCTAATTAATGTTTTCTATAACTAATACTGTCATGCAATGAAATGCACGCATGCAAGAAAGACACCGGAATTGTAATTAAACAATAAAAGTGGTTAAACTTTTACAATGCTTTCTGTCATCTTTTCATTACTTGATTATTTTATTCTATATTATCACATATATATTCCATCATTCATGAGTATCCTGAGTCGGACTATAATCTACTATATTACTCTTCATATTGCCTCTAAAAGCTGTTACCTGCATACACAACAAACCATGATTTGACACTGAGACAGTCTGGCACATTCACACTGCTGACAGCCTTTATTTGGGAAGTGAAAATATCAAAAATCAGTATTACTGCCAATATTACTGCAATAATATTGACGGACACTGATGGTAACAACCATTCACCATTTCACAACAACACATCAAAACGTGATTTATTCATATTCAACACTGTACAGATAATAAAATTGTTATTTGATTCGTATTTACTATCTATCAGGCCAGTGTTATGACATATCGACAGATATCTTAACTTTCAGTCATGTTGTTACTTGATGTACCATTACATATAATACAATGTGCATTAACATGTGTATCGGTTGACGTTTTGTTTGCCCCCTCAACAACTGGCAGATTAGCAATATATTTTCATATCTAAAGTTTAAAGTGCACTAATTTTACTTTGTACATACATATTATTCTGTTTATTTATACAACAAATATTTATCAGTATATCTCATTACGGTCACAATAGATTTAGAATTTATTCATAGACCGGTTGCAGTAATATTTTGTGATAAATACGAAACTTTACTTTACGCTGTTGAGCGCATGTTTGTTCGTGAATATTCATCAAATTTAATGTTAAGTTTCCTTCATTCAAGTATGTTATACTAAAACAACAAAATTCCGATTAATCGAAAATATGTCTTTTTCACAATCGATAATTATTCTTAATCCTCCTTCCGGTCGATCTTCGATTATTTTCGATAATCGGAACACCACTACTGTAGAATACACAGGATTTCCTTTGAGTTACTCATAGGCTAAGAATCCTAGAAACAAGCAGCGTTCATAAACATCGCAGATGTCCCCGGAGTTCCATCAATGGTACTAGTCTAATGTACGAATAACTGCACCTTAATATCACGAGGCAGAATACTTGAAGAGAAAACAATGTACTTTGTCTCGAAAAAATATTGTAAAATATTTGTATTACGATAGCATGATTACATATAACAATCGCTGTTACGTCGCAGAAAACAGGTGAAACTGGGATATATTCTTGTTTTTGTTTACTTTGTGGACACAAGCTATTATGACGGAATTGCATTACAATCGTAATACAAGTCAGGTTTTACCTACCAGTGCGCAACGGGATGTTTTGACAGATATGAACGGTTGATGAGTCGATAAAAAATGGCCACGGTCTGTTTTGATGTTTGGAGTTATTTCCCTTTATTTGAGTTTCTACAAAAATCATACGGGACATTCCTTGAAATAGGATTCTTATTTATTGGACATTAACCTTATTTTGAAGCCAGTTGTTATATGAATTACTGGACAGAACGGAATTGTATTAGACTAGTGTTCTGGGCTTATCAATTATATATATTTATGTATTTTATGAAAATGCCAATGTAGATCGTATGTTAGGTATTTTTCGGTTTCATCTTGTATATTTAAAATGAATTTCACCTGAATTGTAACAAAAATGTAAATTTTATGAGGAAACTTGCATTTATTCATTTCATTTAATTAATGTGAACTACGATGAAAGTAGAAGATAATTAAATTATATTTTAGAATATTATTGGCGAAATTATCTAAATATAGTAGCATGGAAATAACCCTAGTTCGGACCAACTTCCATAAATTTTATCTATATGTCACTTTGAAGCTGCCAGCAAACAAAAAAAGTTACCTTTTAGCAACATTGTTGTTAAAGGGGTTTTCAATGGTGATGTAATAAATATGTGTGGCGCAGTTGTGTTTTGGAACTAAAGTTTTGGATAAAGTAATGATTCAAAACGATTTTAAAATGTTATGGTCAAATCGAATTTTCAAGATATTTTTTCACAGCTGAGAGCTACACTTGACTGCTAACGGATTCAGAAACCGTGGCCAAGAATAATGCAGTGCTATAAGCATTTTAAAAGAATACCTTATTATTATAAAACAGTGACGAGTTATCTGTTTTTTGTGTGGCTACCATAGTGATTTTCAGATGAGTGAGTAAGTGAGAATGGTTTTACGCCGCTTTTTGCAATGTTCCAGCAATATCACGTTTGCAGACACAAGAAATGATCTTCATACATTGTTACTAGCCCACCGGCCCTTTACCTAAGAGTGGGGCCTAGTGGTAAAGCGTCCGATCGTCACGCCGAAGACCCGGGTTCGATTCCCCTCATGGTACAATGTGTGAAGCCCATTTCTGGTGTCCCCCGCCGTGATATTGCTTGAATATTGCTAAAAGCAGCGTAAAACTAAACTCAATCACTCACCCAATGATTGGTTGTTGGTTAACGCCGCACTCAGCAACTCACTCACTTTACCAGAGTAATATTTTCATGTGTATGCTGCATATTGCATATTGGTCCGTTAGTCCGAGACTGATGACAATCTAGTCGGACGAGATGATTTCTCTAACAATGTGGTCATTTTACACAAACACAAATCCAAAATGTGCTGTGGACAAGCAGTATATAAACAAATGTGTCTACTGATACTACGTGTTTTCATATGAACGAACATTGACCTTGTACAGCATACTGAGTATACAAAGTCTGAGTCTGCATTATTGGTCGAAACAGCTTTTTTAATATACTGCCAACGGGCGTATTTTAACATCCACGGATGTGTATTTCGAAAGAACAGCTGCTTCGACGCAGTATACCATCAACAATAGTAACCATAGCAACAGTCAGCTGTGGCATTGATTAGTGTTAGTAACACGCGTGCGTGCATACTTCAAGTGAACATACTATACTACCATGACAATAACGCCTACGTGGCTATTATTGATGAATGGTCTGAAGGCCGCGTAGAAACAACTTTTATGTTGTTGAAAATGTCTTATTTCGTTTATTACACAACCTGTCCCTCAACGGGACGATTCCAAGCGATTTCCAGGAAAAAGGCCCCTTCATGCCTTGTTTTCTTGCGCACCAAACAGTTCGGTTTTAGAACGCTTATCAGTCGTGCTAGAAAGAAGATAAAGCTACTCTGTTTTCAATTTTGCGGTCCTTATCGTTGATTTAAGACCGCTAAATGTTAACGCGTTCTGTTTTTAAATTACATTTAGCGGTCTTAAATCAACGATAAAGGACCGCAAAATTGAAAACAGAGTAGCTTTATCTTCTAATTATTAGAAACTATGTTAGGTATTTTTCGGTTTCATCTTGTATATTCAAAATGAATTTCATCTGAATTGTAACAAAAATGTAAATTTTATGAGGAAAATTGCATTTAATCATTTCATTTAATTAATGTGAACTACGATGAAAGTAGGAGATAATGAAATTATATTTTAGAATATTATTGGCGAAATTATCTAAATATAGTAGCATGGAAATTACCCTAGTTCGGACCAAACCCTTGATGAATGGTCTGAAGGTCGCGTAGAAGATATGGGAATAGACATGGTTGCCGAGTTTATCATTCTAGTTACTGATAGTTTTGAATGTATCTCTACTGTTGTTAGATTAATTGTCAAGATGCATACCATACCATTTATACCATCTTTCCTGTGATTGGGTTCGAATTTCGGTTTGTCCTGATTATATTTCTGGGTTTGTTTGCACCAGATCTCGGGGGTTTCATCCCCGTGGTAAACGTCTGGGTCCAAAATACAACTGTGATATCCGTATCAAAATGCATTACAATCTTATGTCTGGTGTGATTCAATTTTAGTTTCTATCAACAGGGTGTCTGCTTCCTGTTTTCTGGCAGCAGGATAGATTTGGTGGGAGGTGTATAGAGTTATGTCCTGCTTGTGAATTATGTTTTGTTTCCCACGTTTATCTGTTCAATTCATTGACCCACTTTGTGGTGTGGTGTGGTGCGGTGCGGTGCGGTGCGGTGCGGTGCGGTGTGGTGTGGTGTGGTCGTGGACGGTGTGGTGTGGTGGTGAGGGAGTGTGGTGTGGTGTGGTGCGGTGCGGTGCGGTGTGGTGTGGTGGTGAGTGTGGTGTGGTGTGGTGTGGTGTGGTGTGGTGTGGTGTGGTGTGGTGTGGTGTGGTGTGGTGTGGGTGGTGGTGTGGTGTGGTGTGGTGTGGTGTGGTGTGGTGTGGTGTGGTGTGATGCGGTGTGGTGTGGTGTGGTGTGTGTGGTGGTGTGGTGTGTGTGGTGTGGTGTGGTGTGGTGTGGTGGTGCGGTGCGGTGCGGTGCGGTGCGGTGCGGTGTGGTGTGGTGTGGTGTGGTGTGGTGTGGTGTGGTGTGGTGTGGTGTGGTGGTGAGGTGGTGCGGTGTGGTGTGGTGTGGTGTGGTGCGGTGTGGTGCGGTGCGGTGCGGTGCGGTGGTGGTGTAGAGGTGATGAAAATGGTTAACATGGTGCCAGTGTGTTGTGTGGTTTGGTGGGATGCATGAGCAGGGTGGATGTGGTCATGTGTAGTGCAGGGCAGAGGGAATGGTGGTCTGGTGGTAAAATGGAAGGGGATGATGGAGGATGTGGGTGAACGAACAGGTGTGGGGTGGATTTACAGGATAGTGATGGTGGTGTCTTGTGTGGTGGTTGATGTGGGTTGGGAACTTGGTGCCCTTGTGGCATCATCATGGTTTGGACGATGATGGTGAGATGGGTCGGCAGTGTGACCCTGGTGTAGATTTGACAGCAGAAGAGAAAAGAAAGCTGGTTCTAGATGATTTTGAAAGGGATGTGACTAATAGAAAAGAGTTAGCTGGTAGACAGGACATTCCTCTGTCTACAGTATACAGAACTTTGAAGAATATTCAGTCAGGAGTTGGGATTGAGCACAAGAGAGGGGCAGGGTGGCCAAGGAAGTTCAGTACTACGCATTGTCGGCGACTTGGTCAAATTGTGAGGAGGGGGAACTTGAAAAGCGTTGAAAATATCAGAAATGAGATGATTACTAGAGACAGTCCTCGGGCATGTAATGAAACCCTTAGACAAGAATTACAAAGACTTAACTGGGTGAAAAAGCGCTGAATTCCCTCACCATTTATGAAACAGGCACAGAAAGGTCTCACAAAGTACTGAAAAGACACTTAGACTGTAAGTGAATCACATCTCAACAAATTTATTTAAGCAAAACTTCTATAGTTTATATACATGTATTACATATTTGCCGAAACAACTTTCTCAATAATTTCTGGGAATACCATACATATGTGAATTAGGATGGGGCAGATGGGCGTGATGGTGACGGTGACACGCTCTTATGGCAATATACCCCGAATCCGATCGTGATCGTGCACATAGCATACTCAACGAAATCAGGTGAAGCAAAATATCGGCTATCAAATCTCAAATTCTGCCCTTAAGCGACAGGCTGTATATTAAACTATCATCCGAATACTAATTGTCAGTCTCGTTGTGCACGAACGCACCCGATACACAGTGCTTAAGAATAACCATATCAGCAATGTGCGGCCTAGTAGTATTGTTTTTGTTTTATGGCCAAGCCGAGAGTTTGGCACCACACAGTTGAGAGTTTGTCATGCAATCAATTACTATTGTTCTTGTGCGGGCCATACCTATTTATGGGCCTCCGTGATACAACTCGTATATTTATATAGGTAAAATCACGAAAAAACAGCAACAAAACATGAAGCACGAATCTCGAAAATAACGAAAATAGTTTGTTGGTGCCACAGGGTTGACAGTGCATATTTAGGAATACATGCGCCATTAATGACACTATGACTAGAACGTTGATACTACACATACCTCATGTCTTGATGCTGCATAGATGTATGGGACAATGGAGACTGAATATATATTCATATGTCTTAATGAACAGAGACACACACAGTTTATCAGAGCATCACCACCTGTTCAGATTTATCGACCCGATGGAGTGGGGATAGAGGAAGCTGGGGTGGGGGTGGGGCTGGGGGGCGGAGGACATACACACGCGGGAGGCGGGAGACCTGATGAGGCGGCAGTTTTCACTCGGGGCAATCATTTCATGGGTTCAATAAAGCCATGGATACACTTAAGCTGGATACCTATCGATAAATTGTGTAGATTATATATCGGGCATTTTCGTCTGTTTCTGGTCCCTTCCACGATATCATCATATCATTGTAATATATAATTTGGAAATTTACATTTTGGAATTGTTATTGCCAGAAACCATATTCGGTATATGGTCTCTGTTATTGCATATCTGCATTGGAAGTGCAGCTGTGTCATTGTGTCGGAGTTTCAAAAGTACAGATGTATTGTTCTTCTATGACGTAATAAAGCTTACACAAATCGACATTTCCCCGGCTGTTGTGTTTATCAGACGTAGCGAAGAGGACGGGACACTCGGCCACTTCCGCCTCCACTTATCAACATACTGCATGGTGGAGATGGAATTTAAAGATGTTTTCTGTCTTGGTAGTTTTTATTCTGACAAACAATGGTTTATGGAAACTGGTTGTGTGTTTCTACAATTCCACAATATAAATATTTTGTCCCTTAGGCCTACTTACATCTTAGTATAACACAAAATGTATTGATTTTCTTCTTCATCTACTTCTGCCACTACTATTATACTGCTGCTGCTACTACTACTGGTACAACTACTTTTACTACTACTAATAAATATTTTGTCTCTTACTTAATTACATCTTAGTATAACACAACATGCATTCCTTCTTCAATTACTTCTGCTGCTGCTACTACTACAACTACTACTGCTGCTGCTGCTGCTACTGCTACTGCTACTACTACAACAACTACTACTACTGCCGCTGCTACTGCTACTACAATTGTTTTATTTTTTTATTTTATTTATTTCAATCTTTTGAAGTTACATTTTTCCATCTGCTGTGAACATTCATGGATTAAGTGTGCAACAACAACTTATACTACTAATAATATTGTTGCCGCTGTTACTAGCATTACTACAACAACAGCTTGTAATAATAATGCAACTGACACGGTTAGAATGTATCTTCAGTAACCCATGCTTGTCGTAAGAGGCGACTAACGGGATAGGGTGGTCAGGCTCGCTGACTTGGTTGACACATGTCATCGTATCCCAATTCATGCTGTTGATCACTGGATTGTCTGTCCCAGACTCGATAATGTACAGACCGCCGCCATACACCTGGTAGCTGGAATATTGCTGAGTGCGGCGTAAAACTAAACTAACTACTCAGTCACTACTACTACTACTACTACTACTACTACTACTACTACTACTACTGTGCTGCTACTACTACTACTATTACTACTGATGCTTCCGTTACTATTACATTTATAACTGCTATTGATGATACTGTTATTAGAATAACTACTACTTCTACTTCTGCTGCTTCTACTACTACTGTTACGACTACTAGAACTACTTCTACTACTGTTACGACTATTAGAACTACTTCTACTACTGCTTGGTTTTACGTAGAGCAGGAGCATACACATATATACGTAGACTGACCACTACCAACACATGGCCACATCACACTGCTCACGCCAACCATACAGGTTATAATGTGCGCATACACGTTATCATTTGACACACTCACCTGTTGCACCGAACGCCGACAGGTGGGCTCGCTGGAGACTGATTGGGGAAATGGGCGTTATAACTGACCGGCGTTATATCTGATCGGTCGAGGGGCGTGTTGACCAGACTATCATTCTACATGGATAGGTCGTCCTATATTGTCCTTAGCGAAAGAGCGCAGCTTGCGGCTAAAACCATCAACTAATCTCCGATATAAGGCATATGATACGCTGTTGGTGTCGACTCAGCCGCCAGGTGGCGCGAACTGATACCGTATATATTGATTGTGTCAGTTACTTCAAATTAATGAGTTATTTTCATCAAGTCGATATTACATATGAAAACACATAACATCGATAGGTAAGTGTATATGTCGTTTTAAAGTGAAAATTGCATTTGTTAACTTCCAGTATACTCATGTTTGAGAGATTACGAGGTTCAGAAGAAAGCGTGAAGTGAAATGCACCCCCTTTCTCCATTATGTATTTGCAGGGTATAAGCGTAAGCCTAACTAAAGGTTGGTTGATTGTTGTTTAACGCCGCACTCAACAGTACTCCAGCTATATAAAAAGAAGAATGGTGGTGGTCTATAAATACTCGTCTGGATCAGACAATCCAGTGATAAACATCATGAGATACTGACTGAGATACGATGACAAGTGTCAACCAAATCAGCGAGCCTGACCACCCGATCCCGTTAATCGCCTCTTACGACAAGTGTGGGTTACTGAAGGCCAGGTTTCTAACTAAAGCACTGTTCTGTGGTTGTTCTGTTTGCGGTTTTAATATGACATCATAATTCCTGATGAAATGTTATCCACGGGCTCACTCACTCACTCACTCACTCACCTTCTCAACACCCACCCACTCACTCACTCGTGTAACTGCGTATTGTTCAAAGGGTGTGTATATATAACTATCTTTTAGCGCTTCTCGTGCCTCCCCAAGTATTCCTTGCACCACACCTCCATAATATGATAACATAAAATATGGTGAACAAAGGCGATGGCTTACTGGTGGCCCATGAATGAAAGAAACGGAAAAGGGTTTGAAAAACGCTTTTTTGACATCTTGGTCAGTGTGTGTCCTAGTGCTGATCATGAGATCGACTACTCACAGAGAATATAACATATGGATTGATACTAACCTGAATTTAACTCCCCACTTGTACGTGACAGTGTTTTGTACCTAATCGTCCCCAGCTGCTCTTGTACAATATCAGCACCACAATGTTAGTGTTTAACCTGATATGAGCGGCGGGTTAGCCTAGCGGTTAAAACGTCCGCTCGTCACGCTTAAGATCCGGGTTCGATTTCCCACATGGATAGATTGTGTGGTCCATTACAAGTATCCCCCCACCTTGATATTGCTGGAATATTGCTAAAAGCTGCGTAAAACCATACACACGCACTCCCAGTCAATGTTTTGAAGTTTACTTTCGAAACGGTTATGCATTGTATTTATTGGAAATAAAAAGTGAAATTTCCTTGCTATAGGCAAGGGTTGTGTATGCTACCGTACCTGTACGCCCAACAATGTCTTACAAAGCATCTGAAACATTTATACTGAAGGAAAATATTTTTCACCCAAGTTTCTTGCGACCCAAATTCCTAAGATACTGTGAGCAGGCATTTTTAGGTAGGAGTCAGATTTGATTGTTTATATCTGACTGTACTTACTACTTAAACTCGGAATACAACCTCCTCCCTTCAGGCCGCCGCTACAAAGTTCCAACTGTGAAAACTAAGAGAGCCCGTAAATCCTATATTCTAAGTACCATATCTCTTTTAAACGAGAGAGAGAGGTTTCAACTGGTTTCACGTGGTTATGCCTCACAACGAACCAACCACCCCGACACTCAGCACTGTTTGATAATTAGATAGTTGAAAGATGTTAGAAATTTAAATATTTTACCTTATACAGTATGTCGGTGATTCTCACTTCCGTGCGCCGTCATGATTCGATTCCTATCGAATTACCAGGTATCCCAGTGAGTCGAAGGATACAGTGGCGACGTATTGATGTGCCGTCCAGGCGTCAGCTGTGGCGTACAGGCGTGGACTATAGATCTACACATACAGTATACAGGTTTGATCGTCGTGGACGACCGTGACACTGAATCGGCGCATCTACATATACAGGTGACAAGTTTGATTATCGTGAACGACCGTGACACTGAATCGGTCTATCTATATGTACAGGTGACAAGTTTGATCATCGTGGACGACCGTGACACTGAATCGGCGCATCTACATACACAGGCGACAAGTTCGATCATTGTGAACGATCGTGACACTGAATCGGCGTACCTACATATACAGGTGACACGTTTGATCATTGTGAACGATCGTGACACTGACTAGGCGAATCTATATATACAGGCGACAGGTTTGATCATGATGACAATCTTGACAACCAACACATTCCATAATGATAACGACTACAATGCAAAGTAATGTTACTGTGTTTGAACTTGTAAAACTCTCCAATCCAAAACAATAATTGACGTTTTACGTGGCCATAGTCCCACTACACCACTAACCCATACTACACGTGTGACAATATTTTCGTCTCACGTAGAAGATAAAAACTCCAATGACGCAGTTAAAAGGAGCTTCCAACATTGGTGATACCCAAAAATGATTGTGGAACTGACAAAGCAAGGTTCACTTTCCGCCCAAATCTGGGATTCGAACAAAACGATTGTGGAATGATAGCAGTTGCGATAGCGGAGACCACTTGGCCACCATATTCCATTTTAGGTACATTAACCCTGCATATCTGAAGCTGCACTCCTTTTGTAAAGTGTATATGGACTTTTTAATACCGTGACCACCATCCGACTTTTTTTAAAGTGTTAATTCAAAGAAGAGAACGTAAAATAACAAACGCGAAAGAAAACGATAATGTCAATATGCAGTTGTTTACTATTTATTTTGTCACACTATACTTCAAACAATAAGAAATGTCAATGTCCGCCCTTGAAAAACATGTACATACATAAAATCACAATGAAAATGCAAGTGAAAATCGTTTGCTTGGAACACCTTTATCAAAACAGAAGCAAGTGCGCGTGTAGATTTCCAGCCGATTTGAGCATCATTTAATAATGTACATTGACATTTCTCAAAACATTACACGAGGTACATAACTGATACATATAGTGTACACACTATACATGGGCATCGTTCATATAAAACATGGCACTTAGATCCGTATATTTACAGTGATATTATGTACATGCATTTATTGCTTCGTCGTGTACATGTAATCATATACACCCTTCAGGGTATCGTAGATTGTATAGCTGATAAGAAAATTAATTAAGCAATGCTGTCGAGTTATATATTGACTCCGATTTTATAGCAGGTTTGCACCTTAGGGGTAGGAAGGGGAAGGGATATCACAATTTCACATTTGATTTGAGTATTAAAATTGATACGTAATCCATAGGTAATGTACATGATATTGCGTATGTCTTGGCATAGAAACACTACACGTCCAATCCTCCATACAATGGGTAATATGGGCTTGCATGGGGGAACGAAAGCGACGAAAGGCGATACGTGACCGCCCTCGTGAAACAAATGTACTATTTCCCTCAAAGCATTCAGAAGAAAATAATACTGTGCGAGAATCAGACGATAGAATCGTTTTGTCTGAAAACGACCACCGTATTTGTGTCAGATTTTGCGAAAAGACGAAACAATTGACAGTCCGACTACTGATGGAGTAAATCCGAAAAAGCGCTCTCACAGGGAATAAAAACGAAATATGCATCTCATTGGAACCAAACAAATCCATTTCCCCTTCTCTGCAGTGTCACAAACGCAATGCTAACACGAAAAGGTCAGTTGGGGATATATTTTCCAAGTCTACAAACTTGGCAGTTCTAGTGTCTGTTGGCATCCACATTTGCACGGATGAAGGCCACGAGCGTCGGTCGAAATTCGAAACCTCGAAGGGAAAATTCAGTTTTACAAAAATGGAACTCATATTCCAGTTAACAGCATGTCGAGATCAACTTTTCCTTTCAAAAGAGTGCACAATATTGGAAACTTACAACCGAAACGAATGGGACACTCACAGTATCTCGATATGTCGGTCCCGTCATCTTGCCGAACAAATCCATCAGTACTTGTGTTCAGCGAAAACGTTCGAAACTGAACGGGCCATCATTTAACCAGGTCAACAGTAAAGATTTGGGCTACGATGGGTGATGTAATGATGAGATAATGAACACAAAATGTATTGGTATTCCACAATCAGGTCCGATAACTCGTGTTGAACCAGAAACAGAATGGGACATTGTGTCGTGAAATATCCTGCGAAACATCAGCGTTAATACCACTTGACCGAAATTTATATGTTAAGTGATAATATGATCTGATGATGTGATCAACGAAATATCAGTTACTCGAAACTGATGTTAACTGATAATGCAAGCAATGATATGGGGTGTCATCAGAAAATTCTGAGAAATATCAGTTATCCGAAACTGATCCGAACACGATTTGATGGCATTGAATGTCCGCGAAATATTCTACGAAAGATCAGTGTTAACTGGATGTAGATTCTATATCATCAGCGAAATACCACTTGACCGAAACGGATATGTTAAGTGATAATATGATCTGATGGTATATGGCGTTAACGAAATAGCAGTTACCTGAAACTGATGTTAACTGATAATACGTTCTAGTGGTATGGGGGGTCAGCCGAAACATCTGCGAAATATCAGTTATCCGAAATTGATTTCAACTGATAATATGATTTGATGGTATGGGATGTCAGCGAAATCTTCAGCGAAATATCAGTTACCCGAAACTGATAATATAATTATGGCATCATGTTATGAGTGTCAGCGAAACATTCTGCGAAATATCAGTTACTCGAAACTGATGACAACCTGATAATATGCTCTGGTGGTACATGGTGTTATCGAAATATCAGTTACCCGAAACTGATAATATAATTATGGCATCATGTTATGGGTGTCAGCGAAACATTCTGCGAAATATCAGTTACCCGAAACTGATGTTAACTGATTATACGATCTGGTGGTACATGGTGTTATCGAAATATCAGTTACACGAAACTGATGACAACCGATAATATTCTCTGGTGGTATCTGGTGTTATCGAAATATCAGTTACACGAAACTGATGTTAACTGATTATACGACCTGGTGGTACATAGTGTTATCGAATATCAGTTACACGAAACTGATGACAACCGATAATATTCTCTGGTGGTATCTGGTGTTATCGAAATATCAGTTACACGAAACTGATGTTAACTGATTATACGACCTGGTGGTACATGGTGTTATCGAAATATCAGTTACACGAAACTGATGACAACCGATAATATTCTCTGGTGGTATCTGGTGTTATCGAAATATCAGTTACACGAAACTGATGTTAACTGATTATATGACCTGGTGGTACATTGTGTTATCGAAATAGCAGTTACACGAAACTGATGACAACCGATAATATGATCTGGTGATACATGGTGTTATCGAAATAGCAGTTACACGAAATTGATGACAACCGATAATATGATCTGGTGGTACATGGTGTTATCGAAATAGCAGTTACACGAAACTGATGACAACCGATAATATGATCTGGTGATACATGGTGTTATCGAAATAGCAGTTACACGAAACTGATGACAACCGATAATATGATTTGGTGATACATGGTGTTATCGAAATATCAGTTACACGAAACTGATGACAACCGATAATATGATCTGGTGATACATGGTGTTATCGAATATCAGTTACACGAAACTGGTAATACGATCTGGTGGTATAGGATATCAGCCGAAACCTTTTCGAAACATCAGTTATCCGAAACGGATATTAACTGATAATATGAGATGATGGTGTCCGCGAAATATTCTACGAAACATCAATATGAACTGAATGTGTATCAACAGCGAAATGCCACTTGACCGAAACGATAATATGATCTGATGGCATATGGTGTCAGCGCAATATCAGTTACTCGAACTGTAAGTTGATTTGATCTGATGGGAAGGAGTATCAACGAAACAGTCCTCAAAATATCAGTTATCCGAAACTAATACATTAATAGTTACTCGAACCTAAAGTTAACTGATAATATGATATGAAAGTATGGGGTGTCACGTAATATTCTGCGAAATATCAGTCGAAAGAGATGTTAACTGATAATATGATCTGAAGGTATGGGGTGTTACGAAATATTCTGCGAAATATCAGTTAGTCGAAACTGATGTTAATTGACAATATGATCTGATAATATGGTATGGTAATTGGTATGGTAAGGGGTGTCGGTGAACTATTCTGCGAAATATTAGTTAAACGAGACTTATCTTAACCGATAATATGATCTGATGGTATTAGGTATCAGCAAAATATCAGCAACTCGAAACTGAAGTTAACTGACAATATGATCTGATTGTTCGGCGTGCCAAATATTCTGTGAAATATCAGTTACTTGAAACTAATGTTAACTGTTTATACGATCTGATGGTATGGGATGTCAGTTAACCGTCAGTAGCCGATGCATAGACACACGAAACGCAACAATACGAACACTACACTCTACGTCGGGCATCGAAACATCAGATCAGTATGACGCGTGTCTGAAGATACGTCATCCCACTGTTCCGTCAAAACCCCGTTTGACAGTGTTGGGGACGCGTGTTTAGTTCAGGACACAATGGATGCCCCATTGAATCTATTTGTCTTTATCCGCCACCGAAAAAAGCTTCACGATGTCCACTGACACACGCTAAATAATTCCGTTTTGGAACTTCCGTTACACGAAGAAATATCTACGAAGCGAAACGGATATTTCAATAAGATACTAAAAATTCCCTACAAACGAAAATGAGGAGCAGTGTCGGGAAGCGAAATAAAGTTCTACGGAACTACGGAACTACATTTACTGCTCTGGCTCCATTAGACACAATACATGTACATTATTTCTATGCCAAGACATATAATACGGTAAATACTTTGAAACTTAAGTAAGTATGTACACGGTGTAATACAAAATATATCCATCAAGTATATTCATCAAGTATATTCATGAAGGCAAAACTTGGGTTAATGAACTATATCCATCACCACTAAATCATGTGATCACTTGTAAACAGACATGTCAAACTCATAGGTATCCGAATATATGACGTCATAATCCACTGGGATACTCCGATGAATGAAATATCACTTTGTCCACCATTATCACAGGCACTAGGGATCTATACCCTATTATGTTTATAAGGACAGGGTGACACTAATCACGTGACCCGTCCGAGATCACTCTACTCGAGTCCGAAGCCGTTTCTGTGACGGGATTTGACGAGATGTTGAATCGAACCATTCTTTGGACTCGGCCTTGTGCATTCGACTCTTCCACCCAACGCCATGTCCGAGCGTCGTAAATAACCCCATTAGCTTCAACGCGAGGTCGTCGACGTTGTTGGTCCATAAACATGTTGTGGATGCCGAGGTTGTGAGACGTTAGTGGAGCAGGTTCTCTGAATGTGCGTCGACGGGCATGGTCTGAGCCGTCATCTTCTAGAACGTATGTCTGTACCTGCGGAAGGCTGCGGAGGTCGCCGAACGACACCTGATGAAAAATAAAGCTTCGTTGTATTTACTACGTACACAAATATACATACCCAGATAACAAATGCATCACGATAGGTTTCATTTCAAAATAGTCCATAAATAAAGAATAACTCTGCAGTTTATACATTTTTCTATTTGCATTTTCCAGAGATTCTCCTAAGATTGGTGACGGTTATGTACGTAAACATGTAAACACGTTAGTGTCGGTAAAGCTCACATCTTTACATTACTGTGCTACAGTGACTGGTAGGTATTGTTAACAAATTAACTTCAAAGAATGATTATTTGAAACTACAAGAGGCATGTTCGAATGATTTACGAAATAGTCAAACATGAAGCATTAAACAAAATCGATTATATTGACAAATATCAGACATCAAGCCCAGTTACGCATGAAACGAGGACTTCGTTTTGAGAATATGGAAATTTGCAACCAGTCAAAATTGTAAAGTTCAATTTCTTAATCATTCTACGGCACATAAATAACACAAATGCAAAAGCAGATAACCCATAATCTCATGGTTATTTCAGCAATTCCTGGCTTGTTGTTATTCGGAGTATTTTTCAATGGTAATCATAAAATACACGAGACATCTGAAATGTAACAAGGAAAGAAATGTATAGTTTTGATTGATATGTATGATAGGAGGCTATGATAGGAGGCTAACAAGAGGGTATCTCACTGGTCTGTAGGGGTAATAAGGGTTGGCCATGTCCCACACGAACCCTTGCCACGGATAATTCTGAGGGTGGAAGCTGGCCATCGTCCACTGCCTGTCCAGCCTCACTGGACACTGCGTCTCCATCAAAGGACCTCCCTGAACGGGCACCTGCTTCTGAAGCAATCTCCCACCTGGTATCTGTTTTCTATCTCAAGCGGGTGTGCCGGTACCGGCCTAATTAACTCCACTTCAAGCAGGGCTGGCTATTGGCGGTCTTATGTTTTGTGTCATAATGAGGCTTTCATGGGGAGATTAATTGGTCGTGGAGGTAGGGTCTGATTGAATGGAGGTTGGAGCAAAGGTAATGTTTATTGTGGGGATTATATCCGGGGAGAAAGGTATTGTTTCCTCTATTTACACCCCCTTGCCTAAGGTCAAGTGACATTAGCCTTTTGTTCGGGTTGACATCAGTTGCAATGGTGGAAAACAGGTTTCCCAGCGAATTTCACCTTGGGTATAATATGTGCAATAAAAGCGCGGATTGAGGTGCAATGATTGTAAAGGGCAAATAAACATTTCTTTGAAAGCTTCATTGACTGTGATGCCCCATAAAGGCATAAACCATGGCGGTAATCCTGGGGCGATGAGTCGGCCAGGGGATATATGTCTTCAGAGTAAAATTAAAGTGAGTCTATACATCCATTTCTAAAGTTTTCGCCCCCTTACCTGTTTTTCTTCATCCGTTACTTCGGGCAATCTGTAGGAACATCTTGTCTGCTTCGTCTCCAGACTATCGTCAGCTGAATCCTCCAGTTGCGTTTGAGCGACACGAACCGGTGATGGAGTTTTTTCGAATTTGGAATATTGTTAACATTCAGTCGCTGTTTCGCCGAGGGTTTTCTCTCTTCTTTCCTTATCACATACTCCTCTGGATTAACTTTATTACAACTGAAAAATTTACTTTGGTTCATCTTCAGTCGCCTTCGGAACAGTTCAAGCGAGGTCGAGAACAGCGTAGCACGGCGCTGCACCTCAGCCCTCTTCACAGGGGACATAACTCTTGATCGTGTTGGCGATGAACTGATGGCGTTGCCACGAACTTCACAAGGTTCTCCTGATGTTTTGCTGGTTGTCTTCTCGTCCGACGGACTGGAGGAATCCGAGGATTGACAGTGAGGACCAGCAGTGTCATTCTGAAGCCGGATGCTCTTTGTCCTCACGACCCTCCGCTCTCGACCCTGACCTGTCCGGGGCCTCTTTGTCGTCTCGGGGACACCCTGGGATGTCCGCGGGGGACTTGGGATCTGGAAGGCTGTCTTGAAGCGGTTTGGGGACAGGTTTCTTGCCTCACTGTCTCGTTTTACCTCACGTCTTTGAGTGTAGGGTGTCGATGTCTTACATGGCTGGGGAAGAGATCCAGATGATTTGGATGTGTCGAGGTCATGACCAAAATCTCGGTTTCTTGCAGGGATTCGTCGTATGTCGGGTGTTTTCCCACGAGTTGTCTCCCCTTGTACAACCTGTCTCTGTCGTAAGTCGTATATGATGGTGGCTGAACGTTGGCCCAGTCCATGGTCTGTAATCCTGACCATATCAACGATCTGGCGTCTCAGTCCCTCCGTAGGGGACGGGGCTCGGAGATGGGGAGCTGGCCCCGGGGTACACGTTCTCAGCATGGTGGCGGTGTGCTAGTGATACCTGTGGACAGACAACAACTCATGAGGGACGGGTTCAGGGCAATAAATTTGTCACGACCACCACAAAGACGACGTTAACATAGCACATGTAGGGTGACAATCACGGCTGGACGAATTACAAGGGATTAGATCACAATGTAGCCTACGACATCTCCCACAGATAGCACCGTCAGTGTAATAGAAGACGCTCTCGTCTGTAAAGTTAGGATGGACTAGTATGTAAGCAGATGCAACAATATTAATGGGCTCCTCGAACGAGTCCTGCAACTTTCGTTAACGGATCCTTTCACCATATCTCTGGACGGTCGTGGAGAATAACAAAACCAGAACTGGAATTGAGATTTTAATGACAATAGTTTTCTTTGCTGTTGTATTTTTGTTATCACTTGCTTAACAACGACAGTAGAATCTATGTCGAAACCTCGCCTTTCATACAATAAAGAAGTTGTATATCCACAAAATTATCATCATCCTTCATCACCTCAACTTCTAAAATGCCCATCAAAGACGTATTGTTATACACGTTGGTAGACTACTATGAAAAGTTAAGGATCAACATGTACTTTCATAAGACCACAATTGTTCTATTATGACATCACAACAGCTATAATAATATGCAATGGGGCATAATTTGCTCGTTAACGGTGTTAACATCTAATCCGAAACGTCGCATCTATTGCAACACAGAAGCTGTCTATCCATAAAAAGTGTTCATCTTCATCATACCTTCATCATAAAATGCCTCTCAAAGAAGTTCATCATACCAGTTTCTAAATACCACGTAAAGAAGAAATGGACCATAACTGCTTTTACGTAACATTGTCCAGGAGTTATCAATGTCCGTTAGGCCTCCATGAATAAACCCGACCTAATATGCATACCATACATGTCCATCATGTGTTGGAAAACATTTAACAATTGCAATTTTTCACCAATCTAATTTCACCGGCATGCAGTGAACCTACTTGTTATTTTGCTTCTATAAGTCCAAAGTCTTGATCAAGAGCTAAAGTGCCTGACAGTCTTCAAGTTTACAGGCTATTATCTCAGGTTGTAGGTGCATGTTGTTGACAAATGGGTTCTCGTACACATACATTACAGGCTTATTGTGTAGGTCACTTTGTGCGTCAAGCTTTGGCCTCTTAGCTGTCACAGAACTGCAGGTGCGTAAGGCTTGTACGTGCCAAACGAAGGATTAAGGGATTAGCGTGACCGAGGATACACATTCGGATTATCGTAAGAACGAGATTAACTTCAATATAACGCAAATCTCCGTCCTGTAAATTTTCAGTTTTCTAATGCCTGCTAATTGGATAATTGTCACGGCTGATATGCTGACTTTTGTTACTGGCAACGTATATATGAATAAGGTTAAGATACAAGGATGACGTTTATGTGCATGATGTGGATATTTGCAATACAATGCAATATTTGACAAAGACATGAAACATCGACACTTTCCCCGTAAAACATGCATGTTATCGGTCACAGTTAGGTCAAATGACAAACCTGCCATTGAATCCTTACTGTAAAACAGGGAATTAAAGATCACCACAGCATGACGATTAATGCAACCCACCTCCACTAAGAAGGGAGAAAAAAGAGAAAGATTTACCAAACAGAAAAAGACAAAAAGCCATAATAGTTAAAAAAAAACTAAAAAACACATACGACATACCCACCCCCACCCACTCCCGATGAAAAGTACAAGCAGACCTACAAAAAATGCAAGAAACACAAATGAACGTAAACTCCCGAGGAAACGTCAGCAACCTAAGCACATCCCGCAATCTAAATATTCACAACCCCTACGTCCCCCCACAAAAATAAATTTATAAATTTAAGCAAAAAAACAAACAAAGAAAGAAATCTCCAACTTAATACTATCCCCACATCAAAAAGCTCCACCTAATACACATTCCCAGTAATATACTTATTAATTAATAAATGATTTCATATGCTTTCGGAACAGAAAAATGATTGACGTTGTTCACCTGTTCAAATCAGGACGCTGTGTATCCCGTCCTTCTCGTACGTCCGACACACCCTTACTAACTCTACCACTGACCCGCTGTCTCACGGTTGGACCACCATTGAATCTTCAAAGAAGGGATACCCATACCAGCGAAACACGGAAAGACAATTAGAGACCTAAGCCTAAATTAAAGCTTTTTATCACCGGTCGATTTGGCAGCCGCGGTAACTGTGATTAGGGTAAGTCAATGGCAATCACGTATATGTACACATAGAAGCAAGGCGCCGATCTAACTACGGCCAATTGGGGGTGATTGTGTCCCGAGGGTATGGGAAATGGGGGGAGGGGCTGGGTAGGAGCGATCTCTTCTTCTATTACCCTCTTAGGGACGCTAGACCGGGTAACAACAATTGTACGTATCAAAATAGGGGGATTTGCTGGTGAGGACAACAATTAGTCGTGTTTTCTTAAATGGCATTTGTAAGGGTCGCAATGTGTTAAGAAATGTGTGAGTGATTGTCTGTGGGATTTGGAACTTGGTAAAAGTTTATCGGGAGGAGACAGACAGGTGTCATCCAATCAGTGTCACTGAGCGCAGACTGTAGGATCATCAAACCAGTCATTGTCTACAGTAGGAGCTATCATGATATGACCGTCAAAATACACGTGGCAGGGGTGCCAGTCTAGATATGTGGTATCTAGATTGCCGTGTGTGTACGAACTCAAACCAAACAGTTGGGTCAGTTGACACAACATCGCACGGCGGAGACGAAGTGCGATATTATTATTCTCCGGGTATACACATACGCAAGATGGCTTTTATAAATCATGCGTAATTTAGAGGACGTTAAATCTCCAAATCATTATCATCACCATCATCATCGAGGACAGTGTTTTAGTTGAACGCCACACTCAGCAATATTCCAGCTATATGGCGGCGGTCTGTAAATAATCGAGTCTGTACCAGACAATCCAGTGATCAACAGCATGGGCATCGATCTGCGCAATTGGGAACCGATGACATTTGTCAACCAAGTAAGCGAGCCTGACCACCTGATCCCGTTAGTGGCCTCTTACGACAAGCATGGGCTACTGAAGGCTCATTCTAACCCGGACCTTCATGTGTTTTTGACACAGATCCGGAAACAATATAGACAAACTTTATACATAACAACTTTATTTCGTGAGTGCGACGATTCTACACAGATTCTTGTACCGTTGTGCTGCTTGCTCTGTATCTAAACGTCGCACTCGCGAAATATAGGTCATTATATCCATAAAGTTTGTCTATATTGTCCTTCTCAACTTCTAAATGCCACTCAAAGAAGAGATCCTGATATATTTATATCCTACACTGCCCATGCAAGTCAAGATTTATAAATAGTTTTCATGAAAATAATTGAAGAACTGTTTTTTTGTAACATATGATCATTTCAAAGACTACTATGTTAGACTAGACGGTTTTGTTCTGTTTCAACAGGCGGTCTGCTCATCACTCAGGAGGTGGTGATGGTGCGGTAGTCCTGTGGTTCATGTGTTCGTTTTGTCTGGGTTTTATTCCCACTTTTAAGAACCGAATCTCGAATTTTAACGTGAACATTCCTGACTAAAAAACAGTTTGCATTTAGTCTCCGACTTACGGGAGATTATGTTTTGGGATTCCCAAGAAACAGCGCTTGTACAAAGGCATGAGTGCTGAAATGCATTGAACGTGTTATTGTATGAAGAGGAACCAATTTTATGGATTGACTTCTTTATTGCAATAGATTCGAAACGTTGCATCTTTTGCAATAAAGAAGTTATTGCCCGTAATTTGTTTTTACCTGATCACCAAGGGCGAATCCAGGATTTTGGAGAAGAGGGTACAAATATATCATTAAAGGGAAATGCTCCTCGGGGAATTTTTTTTCGGGGAGAAGGGGGGTAGCGCACCCCCTCTGGATCAGCTCCTTATCACCATACCAACTTCTAAATGCCACTTAAAGACGTGCTACTGTATGTAGTGTGGGGATGTAAGCATATGCGTCTGTGTGTGTATGTCTGCCTGTCTGCGTGCGTGCGTGAGTGTACGTGTGACTGTGTAGCAATGCACGTCCGTGGGAAGATTTGTGCATTCGCATGAAGTATATACCACTGTGCTCATAGATTCTGCTAACCATTGCTCAGAGACCAGAAGTTTGCCAGTTGTTTAATTGCTCATTCATACGTTTTTTTTTTATTTCGCTAAGGCTTGTTGCTTTTAATAACACTGAAAGACAACTGTCTAAAATACTGTTTTTTACCTTATAATTTTATAAATGATATAAATGATATAAATGATATAATTTGTCATTATGGTGAGACAAAAACAGGACTTGAATTGGACCAAAACATATACATGTACATGCACTTATTATAATAATAATCGGTCTAAGTTTATCGTTAATTCTAGCTGGTCTCTGGTACAATTACAGAGGTGGCGTTCCTGAAATCTGATAGTTTTTGAAACATTTGATAATTGCCACTGCTAGATAGAAAAGCGCTGACCTGGGACTGTTACAGAAGATCACCATCGCGACTCTGATGACACGGATAGTGTCCGCCATTGCGAGTGGTAAGACACGTCGTCCTCGACATGGTGTTGCCCGCACGCACCACCTCCTTACATCGTATCTTACTGCGTTACTGACAAGCTGAACACTATCTGATCTGATCGATAGATTTACACGGATCGATTTTACAGTGACGTCATTTAAAACATATTTCTTTTGGACATGCAGTTATCTCCCTTGTTCACTACTCGCATGTTTCTACCGATGGTTTCTTATACAATATACACGTACGTTGTGTAAACTAGACATTTAATCAAAATGAGAAATGATTGTTATGTTATATATAAACATTTATGATTGTGAGTGGGGAATTTCCAATACACCAAAAAACTGCCGGACAAAAGAACGTAAAACTCTCTGAAATGAACATATTTTACAGAAAATATCCTTCATATCATATATTAGTAAAATATATTGAACTGGTGATTTCAGAAA